GCATCCCTCCCGGGAGGGCGACCCCAGCCCGCGTCCGAGCCGCGCCTTTGCCGAGCTCCAGCCTCTTTCCCGGCCGCTGCCATCGAAAGCACCTGAAGCACGGGCAGCCACAAACGGGTTCTCGTCGTTTGTGTATCCAAGCCTTTACGACGATCGAGGGAATGGGACATGGGCACACTGGACTGCAAACTACGGAATCTAAAATGTGCTGGTTCTCCTCCGATGAGCTCGAGTTCTGAACGGAAAACGGTGAAGAGAAAAAGAAAGAGAAACACCTTCAAAGAAACCCACCTACTCCACGGGGTCCCAGCAGGCAACTCCAGAAACAGAACAGGAAAGGGGAAACGAAGAGCCACAGAAACCCGAAGGGAACTAACGCACAGAAGCCCCTCTTCTTCCCAGCCTCCCCCCCGACCCCGACGAACAGAAATTAAACAAGGCACAGAATCTTCTGCAAATGACTTCACTAAACTAAATCCAAGCTGGACTTGGCCAAAAAAGGAAAACCCAAACAAATTGAGGTGTCAAACAGCAGAGTGTACTTGACGAGGAATATTTTTACACAGCGAATCCCGGACCCTCCCAGCCTCACACGACTCTCCACCCACTGGCTTTTTTTTTTTCCTTAAAAAAAAAAAGACACAAGCTGGTTGCCACCTCTAATATCACTGTCTCTTTAGCATTTAAATAGGGCCAGTAGTAACCGTCCACGGTTGGACACCTCATAGAAACCAAGGCTGCTCTAGATGAAGTACTCTTTCTTCTCTTCGGAGTTGTTTTGTCCTCCTTCTGCGTTGATGATGGCTGTGTCTGCGTCGGCCGCATCATCTGCTCCTTTGGCTTCGTGAGTGAAGTATGTACCTGAAAGGGAAGCAGGAGGTTGCATGACTCCTAAGAGAGCGAGTCTTGAAGTTGTACGAATAAAAGGGGAAAAAAAAAAAATCTAAAACATCAAAATCAGGCTGGGGCACGAAAAAATGCCACCGGATGGTGCTGCCTGGTGCAGGAGACCCCCAGGGCTGACCACGCACCGGGCACCAGTGTCCCTGCTCCGAAATGTGACGCTGTGTTGCGCTCTGCAGCATCTCATAGAAGAAACTAGGTCACAGCTATTTCCCTCTCTCAGAAGCACACAAATTTCAGTTAAATTACATTTTACATGCTTTACCTGAGGGAGACAAATCTTTCAGCTCTGCTTTCTCCCTCCCCTGCTATGCTTGAGTGTCTTTTTTTTTCCCCTTTCTCCTCTCTTTTCAACATCATTCACTCCATCCTGGCTGCAGCTGTAACCAGCCTCTCATCCTCTGTCAGCTTTTCCACATGTACTAAACAAACCCCAGTGAACATTAAATCCTTTTGTACAAACATCCACATGGGGGAATGGTCACAATTTTGTGCGTGGGTTTACGTTTGCTGTGGAAGTCGTAAGAAGTCCCCAGAACGAACCGTTTTACATGAAACCAAGGCAGCGTGGCACACGTGTATCAGCTCAGGTCACCCGGGTTTTGCCAAGGGACGTGCCCAGCTCAGTCTCAGCTGAGTGCCAACAGGCCGGCTGCGAGCTTCGGGCATGAGCTGGGGTGCTCCAGCCCTTGTCCCATTCCCAGGGTCTTCCAGGAGACATTCTTCCAGAACAATGGGGGTTCTCGCATCAGACGGGACAACACCATGAGCAAAGGGACACACGTGCCGCATCCTCTCACTTCCCAGGTCCTGTCCTCGTCTTACCTTTATGTCTGGCAAAATATCGCCCTAAAATGATGAGCAGGCAGAGCATTGCAAACACGACCACGGCCACGACGCCACCAACCACCGCATGGTCCACGCTCCGTATCGCCCCTTCCTCACCTGCACGAGAATCTGTTGAGATCAGAAGAGGAATAAGAATTTGGAACTTATTACGATGCATTCTGAAGGGTCAGGCTGCAGCTGCTCTCGGGATTGGAAGAGCCACCCTTGTGTTCCCGAAAGGAAGAGGGGTGAAGCACAGAGCTATCTAGGCAGAAGAGTTCGGGCAGAGGAACTTTGTCCAGAGCCGAACTGATCTGGCAGCTCGGCTCGTAAGGTGTTTTCCGCTATAAGCAGCAGCACTACGACTACGCAGGTGGAAGACAGCTGGGAGAGGGAGAGGAGAGGTGGAGTCGGAGGTGGGGACGTATTTTGGGAAGTTTCCTTAGAATGCTCCCCGAATTTCAACCTCCCCAGGGGCTGGGGGCACAGAGAACAACAGTACAATACAGGAACAGCAATTGTTAGCTCTGGAGAAGCATCATCAGTGAGTGCCCCGTTGAAAACATTTCAACTTTGGCCCCAGAAGCTCCTTGACCAAAAACCAACCAACCCAGCACAGCGACCACATTTATGACCATCCTCTTTCCCCAGCCCGGCGAGCTGACATCATTAAACCCGACCTTTGCTGCTCAATGCGGCCCACGACATCCACGCACACAAAGCTCCTAACCCAGACTATAGAAACCTCTTCGCAAGCAGATAGAAAGCAATAATTGTACAGTGGCTCCAACTGCTTTATTCCATTTATTTAACTCCTCACCAGGCAATTAGTTTTCTTTTAAAAGCGCCTCTCCCTGAGGACGCCGTCACCCGGGAGAGGAATGAGTGACTTGGCGGAGGAACGACTCCGAAACGAACCCAGAATGAGCTATGGCCATGTAGAACGAATGTATGGCAGTGTAAACAATTTTAATTTAAGAACGCAGCTACATCAACCCTCAGTGCAATCCTAATGGCAACTGAGATTTATAACGTAGTAAAAAACAATTATTCTCCCGTTGATTAATACATTAACATTTTGGAATAGAAGCTAAACCATTGTCTCTTTTTTTTATTGAGTCAAGCGCGACACCTCCATTAAAATGATTAACTGGCCATACCTTACAATTTAAGCACAGCAGCAACAGAAACGGTAAAAATCTTTTAACTTTACATGATTTGTGAAGTCATATGTGAAGGATTTACCATTTAAATCTTTCACTACAAGAAGCACATGGCCTATAAATCTGTCCTGCATGCAGTTGCCCAGACACCTAAGAGAAATGCATTTTACCAGGAAGACTGAGAGTGCAAATGCAAGTCAATTTTTAAGAAAGATTTATCTCCGTCTCCCTCCAAAGAACAGAGCAAATCTCTGAAGCCTCCACCTCTAATAATATTTGAAGTTTATCGATCAAGCGTACAGATCCGTGACAGCTAAAGGTAATGGTGCTCTTTTGAGCTGAAACCTGATACAAAGCTTTCCAGCAGCAGCCCGGGATTTACGCTTTCTATCGATATTTCCAATTCTGCTCCAAGATGAAGGACTGAGGGGCCCAAGTAAATAACTCGTGACTGAGAGCACCATAAAGTGCCTTTTAATTAAAACCATTTAAGAAAAAAAGCCCTTTCAAGTGTTTCTTTGAGTAACCTCCAAAAGCAACAAGCCCTGGCAGAGTTGGTGGGGTGCCTGGGCTGCATGGGGTGGGGGTGAGGGGCACTTTGGGGCCCACAACAGAGTCCTGGCCAGCAGCTTGTCTGATAAGCTAAAAACTGGGGCCAAAAAAGCCCGCCCTGCAGCGCAGAGGCACTCACTGCCACATCGCCTACACCCGCGCCCTCCCCCTGCAGAGCCAGCGTGCCAGAGAACCCCGAGCGCGCGGTAAAGGGAGGGACGCTCTGCGCCGGCTCCAGCAGAACAGACCCTCTCCTGAGCGCTTCCCGGCCAGCGTCTGCTGTGCTGGCGAGCGGCCCGACATCCCTGCCTGCCACTGGGAAAGACACCCGGGCGGCTCTGTGCCCAGCAGCCCACCTCACCTGGGCAAGGACTCTGCTCTCTGCCCCCAAGAGCAGCCGGGGAAGAACTGGCAACCCGGGATTCCAGGCAGCTGCCGCCCAAAGGCAGCCTCCTGGCTGCACCTTCTAGCTCGGCTAAGCCTGGCCTTTGGGTGCCTGCCGCAGTGCGGCCAAACCCGGCCCACCCGTTGGAGCTGCTGCTTTAGACAAGTGCCACTCCCAGCTCAGCACCCAGTTCCGCTCGGCTGCACTCAGGAGGAGACAGCCGCATCCTGGTCCACGAGGATGAATGTCTTGTTGACATCTGGAACAGCTGAGGGGAGTAAACACACTGAGTTACAGCACTATAATGTGCTTTGAGCTTGATTTTGCATGAAGAGGGATTTTTTTCTTAATCACCATAAATTAAAGTTCTGGAAAGATGAAGCCTGGCTGTGCTCGTCCTGGCAGCAGCAGCCTCCGCGCCGTCACGGCTGCCCTCCCATTCGCGAGCAAGCTGGGAGCAGGGGGAGGGTGTTTCCCAGAGAAGGGGCTTTTGCATAAAGCTGTTGTTCTGGTCAGAACAGTTTATTAAGTATGATTTCATCTACCGGGACATGCGGGGCCATTTATTTCTGTTAAGAAAGGCCTCTGTGAAGTGCCAACCACAAGTTTAATTTTATTATGTGTGTAGTTGAACAGTTCATCTTCAAGCTTACAGACTACATAAAAATTAAATATCTTCTAAGAATGTCCAGTGGCTGACAAACCACGCAGCGTTAAGCCTGTGAGGCAGCTGACAGCATCCTCTTACCTGGAATGGTACTGTACGGATATCTCACGTCAGAATGGCCAGCAAAAGGCAGGGCTCTCCTGCAAACACGGGGGGCCTTGAATCCCCAGAAGGGACACGTGCATTAGTCACTCACAGCAGCACTGCCCAGCAACCAAATATACTCTGACACTGACTCTCACTCATGAAAAGTTTGGAGCTGAAGGCCAGAGTGATGCTGTGGCACGTGGCTGGGACTGTGGCTCGGCCTGTCAGCAACCGTGAGCAGGAGCCTGCAGCTGTGGGGACCTGCAGCAACCTCCTCCACTCCTCTCTGACGATGCTACAGGCAGAAGGCCTGTCTTACAAGAAATATGCCCCATTTACAGGCATTAAAACACTTACCAGAATAAAATCCTCCTCCTAACCTTCCCAACTTGCATCTCCAAAGATAAACCACTTGCAATTTCTAAAAAAAAAAAAAATAATCCAAATTTCTGCAAGGTTTTTGGGCCTCCACCTCTTCAACATCTCCTCAAACTCCACCCAGAGGCTCCAACACAGCCACCCAACGCCAGCCTGGCCAATGGCTGACAGACCCCACCTCCACCAGCCCTGGACACCGCTCTGAGCACATCCATTTGTACCCCACCAGCACGGGAGCAGCTATTTCATTCTCTGCCACTGGCTATTTCTGTGGTAATTAAAAAAAAAAGCACCAGGTCCACAGACCAAGGAGTAATTCTCCAAATCTGTGCCACAAAAGAGAGACTTGACCTTAAAAACCGGAATCTGCTTTAAAATGCTGCCTCCAATTCACAAAAGCTATTGCCGCTTCATATCTATGATTAAAACAGAAATCACAACTTTATTACTGAAAAGGGAACAGATGAGATGGCAGGAACTGACAAAATGCCACATTATTTGCTAATCCTAATATGTTAGTCTTCCTTAAGATTTGCTTTTCTCAGCACCAATTCAATTATAGATGCTACAAATCCTTCTGACATTTAATTCCCTCTTGTCAGAGAGTGGTAAATGTATACATGCAGAGCTTTCCCATTAAGATGTTAATATATATTGGAGCATGCTGGCCTTTAAATCCAATAGTCAGAATTTTTCTCCTACAGTTTTCTTTCTGGTTGGCTCGTGGTTTTTGGCAGGTGGGAGTGGAAGGAGGGGGGAGCAGGGCAAGGTGCAGACGTCGCGGCATCTTGCGAACAACACGCGCACACCTAGGGGGCTACTCGGCGGCTACGGGCACCTGGGCCGAGCCCGCTGTCGCGGCTGGTGCTTTGTGAGAGACCAAAGCGCCTTAAAGGAAAACCACAGCCACCGTGGTACAATCCACTTGCAGCAATAACTGAATAGAGCCAGAGAACAAAAATCAATTTTTCTTCTGAACCACTGTGATGCCTCCCCTGAGAGAGCAGCCCGGGCGTGCCGGCATTAGCGGGTGCCACCACTGGGTCTGACTGAACGCGCCTGCGTGGGATGCAGATCTGCGTGCGGCAGCAGGGCACCACACTCCCATTTCGAGGGGTGCCTAAGAAGAGACTTTGGCAGCTTTGAGCTAGTTTGTATTCAGTACCTTTAGTCAACAGCTTGTGCAGTCAACAAGCAAGAGGTTGTACCACCTGAAGGCAAACCCTGAAGTTTTCCTTTAAAACAAAGGTGCAATTTGGCAAAGGGTACCTAGACAGGAAAGAAGGGCACGTTTGGGTGGTTCCTACTTGTCACCTCACTAAGGAACTTGCCCTGAGAGCCAGGAGCAACACAGGGCAAGTGGTTAACTGGTTCTCCTCCATGTGACTGCTGTCAGCTAACACCCCCCTTTTAAACCTGTAGGTCCTTACCTATGTTGTTTTTTTTTTTTTTCTTGCAGGGGGAGGCACTTTTAAAAAAATAAATGTATTAACGATCTCAGGTTTTCTAACATTTTTGCAGATGTAATAATTTAAAAATAGCTTTCTGTGGACTGTCTCGAGAGTACAAAAAGAGATTTTAATAGCAATATCCTAACAATGTGGGTCAGCGGTTACAGCAAGGTTTAGGAGGTGGAACACGTTTCTCCTCCCAACTACTCAATAAAAAGGTTCCACTCAATTCTGTTTTAATGAGGCTTTAAATATATATATATATATCCATGTATCTACACATATTCTGGCTTCCACTCTTTTCCTAAGTGGCAGCATCTCAAGACAAAGAGCAAGACTAGGCTAGACCCAGGTGGTTGTCCCAGCCAGTACTTTAAATCTCAATGACATCTGCTCTAAAAGCTCCAGACCTATTGGGGTCAAATCACTTTATTTGTAACTTCAGCGCTCACCTTGTTTTCAGAACTGGGCCCTGTACAGCTCCAGCAGCCAGGCCTGCCATCGCCCTTGCCAAGGGAGCCCTCCGCACCCACCGGCATCCTCCGGTGCCCAAGGGCAGCGGCTCCTTCCCAGCAACCTCCTGCGTGGCACCGGCCTTTCCCGGGCATTGCCTCCAGCGGCATCTCCCTGCTCTCCCCGTGTGCCAGAGGCATGAAGCCCACGCAGCACTCGGCGCCGTGGCCGGTCCCGTCCTGACTCGGGGAAGCGCGTGTTTTGAGCGTTTTTTTTTTTTTGTCTGGGGCGTCTCTCGGCAGCCCTGGGCTTGCTTTACACACATTTGTGCTGTGAAAGCAGAAAAGCGATGCAGATTTTTTGTGAAAACATAGAGCATAGTATAGATGTTAATTTTGGCATATTTGGATTTATTGCTCACTACCACAAAAATTTATCTTAATTTCCTAGGTAAAAATTAATTTCAAGCTGTAGGACAACACGGGCTGAGTTTGTGTGTGTGCCTGTGTTAAGCTGACACACACCAAGTCCATCGACAGCAACCGTGCTTCCCAGATGTTACTGTAACATCTGCATCGAGGTAGGGAAACAAAAACCTACATCAGTTTCTCTGAGGAATTCCTAACCTGGTGATCTTTTCTTCCCCCTGTTAGAGCTTAGTTTAGTAAAATAATTAACACACCAATGTGACTTAAGCTCCCGCCCGTCTCTGCTGGGCACAATATAGATGCAAATGGCCCAAAGTCACTTATGGGCTTTTGAGAAACTGGTAAGCCAACTGCTCCTCTTTGCTACGAGGTAGGAAACTTACAGCTTGTGCTACCTTTTCCCCCCTGAATTTGTGGTTAATTCTTTTGTGGAATGAAGTTGTTGAAGCAATGGACTGGCACCAGAACTTGGGGTTAGTGGGGGCTGCTGGTGGGTAGGGCTGGGTGGGGAACAACCTGCTGTTACTTCAGGGACACTATAAAACGCTTCCCCACGATGTGGGAGGGCAGGAATCAGGGCCCGTGTGTGGCAGGATGACCAACAATGTTATTCTTTACTACGGCACGGCATTAAGTGTGCTACCCCTACTCTAATGTATTGATGGACTGTTACAGCAGCGTTAACCTGTTTGTCGTATTGTAATTGAATTTGGTCTAATTTAAGCCAGAGAAATTCGAGGAGTTAATCCTTCTTCAATCAATAAGCTCCCCTTCAGTGACCCATTTCAAGATCGCTTCATAACAAATAATGCGCTTTGTTTTAATAAATTTAATCACTACAAGAGGTGCTCAAGGTTTCTCGGCTGTTTCTTCAGACTCGCCACTGCCAGAAAATGGAGCCCTGCTCAGGATCGATAGCAATTGATTCATCAGCATCCCCCTTGAACAAAGGTGCTAATCAGGTTTTGATGAGTTAATCAGACCCGATGCGGAGGCTACGCGGGTCTTTCTTGATTGCTCCCTGTTCTACAAGAGCTGTACCCACACCCTGAGCAGAGCGGCAACAGCGCAGCGCACCCGAGGGGCCGGGGTGGGGGTCGCTGGGCTGCTGCCCTCACAGCACGCAGCGGTGGGTATGTGGATGGAGGTCTCTATGTACCTGCGTGCCTCTGTGTGTGTGCAGCAGCTCGCCCTGGCGACTCCCGGCACTGCTGGTATCTCATCGGTAAGGCTGTGCCGGGCGGGACAAACGCTGCAGCAGCAGCAGGAAGGCTGAGGGTGAGGCCAGCCCTTTCCACACGCGACGGGCTCTGTACGTTAGGAGCGAGAGGGGTTTTGCAAGTGGCACGGACACACACAGCTCGACCAGGAGAAGCTAACACAGCTCTGGAAACTAGCTACCTGGGCGGAAGGCAAGGGACGCGTTACTTAATTGCACAGTTGGCAGAGCCTCCGTTGAAGCATTTAGCGGGACAGGAGTACCTGAAAGGAACAGCACACTGAGCAAACACGACAGCAGCACCCTCGAGTCATCCAGCACACCTCGGTCCGCCCGGGGCACGTCCCCCCGCGCCCGTGGGTCGGACCCGAGGGCTCCCAGCACCGCTGGAGTGGAGGGCAGCATTCCCAACCGGGAGCTCAGCTCCAGCACTCACCTGGACCACCCGTCCGACGGCCCAAACCTGCGACCCCAGGCTGCACACAGGGCCTCATTTCCCAGGGGTCTGGGCATGGGTGATGGGAGGAGGGCAGAGTTTGCCCCGAGGAGAGAACGGCCTGGAGCTCGTTCTCTAGTGCCACCAGCGTGTCTGACTCAGCACGGTTACCCTTTGGGTGTACGTAAGTAACCGAGCGAGCAACAAGCAAAATCTTGGAATTCTTAAAAAAAACCAAACCCACCGGTAATCAAGACAGATGCTCCAAAATGGGTGTGTGGTAGTAAAGCACCATGGGTGCTTGCTCAGCTGCTCACTGTCTGCAGCAGCTGGGCTTGCACTGCTCTCCATAAAGCTTTGGGGAAATTTTGACTTAGGTTCCAGATTCAGAAAAAGGGAAGTGCTGAGCTATAGCCTGCTCAGGAGAAGCACGCGCTGCTCCAGGCGGGCACAGCTCCCGCACGGCGACACAGGCGCTCCAGGCAAAGGCTGGGCTGCTAGCAGACACCCATTTTGAGGAATTCCTTGGTGGAACTGTTTCCTGTTCTCTTCATTCATCAAAAGGGGTACTTTTCTTTAAAAAACAGAAATTAAAAAAGTAATAAAGCTTATCAGAGCAAAACAATTCTTTCCCATCCACACAGAGATATTTAACAAACCCCTAGTGCTTCTTACCTAAGAGATCTGAACCAGGCCTGCAATAACAATTATTAATATCGCTCAGGTGTTAGAATACAAACTGAATTAATCAATCATTTCTAACCTCTTGGCCAAAGCATACCTATAGTGGCTTACGGGAGGAGACACTGCTGATTTGATCAGACAAAAGGCAAGCACTGTACAGGAGGAGATGAGGACTCTAGGGCTCGCTTTTTTGGTATTAGTTTTTCGCTCCATGTTCAAACTCCCAAAGTGAAATGCGTTGGACCAGGAACCTCCCGGGCAGGGCTGTCTCAGGAGGCTGGGCTCCTGCCTTGTGGCCCATCCCCACCCAGGGCCACCTCCCCGGGCGGAGCCGCCACCCACAGGTAAAAGGAGTTGGCAGAGATGCTCTGAGATGCAGGAGCAAAAAAATGGGGTGAATTTCTAAAAACGCTTAGGAAGACTCTGGCAAAACACAATGACCACACGTTTAGACTGTGTTTGTGCCACTGATACGACCCCTGGTTTGCATACCAACTGCATCCACAGAGGATGCTTTTCTTTCTTAATCTGGATTAGTGCTAATTTGCAAGGACAAACTATAATCACGTATTTAGGCAACTTCTGTTCAGCACGGATAAAAAGAGGTTCAAACCATTTACCTGGCTTCGCCTCTACTGATAAAACAATTATCTCATTTTATCCCCAATCTGATACTTGTATTATGAGAAAACATCACGCAGCCGAGATTTAGCGCTGGTTGCATTTTTTAAAGATGCATTTCACACAATACAGCAGAGTCGAGTGTTTTACAGACTTGCAAGTTCCAACTCATCTCCAAACTAGCGTTCAAAAAATCATGGCCCAGCAGCTGAGAGGGAGCTTGAAATGGTCTCGCTGCTCTGCACACCTTCCGCCCCATTTTCAAGGGTGCCACACAGCAATGGGTGCCAAAAAAAGGGAGGGGAACCCCAACAAAAAAGAGCGTACATCCAAGCTGCGCGAGCGTGCGTGGGAGGAATGGCTGCACCACAGCGACTATACAATGCGACATGGCCAAGATGCAGAAATCAGAGTGAAACCAGTATCTAGCGTAGAAGAGCAGCGGTTTACCTACGGACTAGCCCTTACCTGAGAGATCCCCATAGTCCAGCTCCTCTGCCGAATTGGGCAACTGAGTAAAGCCTTACAAGTAAAAACAAACTCATTTTTCTCTGCGTTTCTTGAGTGACAAAAAACAGCACACTTAAGAACTGAGGGTGAATTTCTTGGGGGGCGGGGGGAATAATGCGTCAGTCACTTGCCACCTTCTGCCGGTTCGGGCAGAGTAACTGGTATGACAGAATTGCAACAATTTCCTTTATTACAGATGGAAACATTCCTCACTCTACACTGTTGGCACACAAAACATGGCGTCAAAACCACTCACTCATAACAGCATGCAAGGAGCCCCAAACTCTTTCTTTTAGTCATGTGGGGGGCAAATTCCCAATTTAGTCCAGTCCGATTTTGGTTCTGTATAGATGGTGCAATGTAAAATTGCATTTTGTTTCCACTGAATTTTTCAGGAAATTCAATCTTTTCAGGGTCCTGTTGCCAAGCCTGGCAACTTATCAATTAGTGAACGTTGCAGATTGCATTTCAGAACTCTAAGGCATCTGTACGTGCAGACTGCAGGCTGTATCTTCTGCAAAAAAATCTGACAAAAGTTTTCCCAAATTTGATGCATTTATGGAAAAAGCATCTATCCTCAAAGCTGATAAAGCAGTTAGGCGAGAGACACTCTCATGACCACAAAAAGGCAGCTAATGCTGTCTGTGAAGCTGTCATTTTCTGCTGTGTTTGAGAAGATGTTGGGGGGTGGCCCACGGGGAAACAGAGGATCTAGTGGGGTGAACTCAGCACAGGTTACAGTGTCTGGAAGTCATGGACAACTATTTAAATGAGGGCTAATAAGGACAGTGAAGGCTGGCACTTGTGATAACTTACTGCTGGCTGCTAAACCAAATGCATTATTGAAGGAAAAAAGAAAAATATTTCTCATGAAGAGACATCTGCATCACTGGTCACTGGGAAACCTGGCATCATAGGCTGGCAGGCTGCTAAAAATGTGACTTGGTTTTAAAGAGGGAAGATGTTAACCCAGTGCAGTCCCCCACTGGAAAGCAGCAAGCAATGCACGTACATATCTCATTAAAAACGTTTATTTTCAGTGACTGTTTTTAACTACATCAAGTCACTTGGAAGCTACAGTTGGAATTATTTTCAGAAGTGGGGCACTGTTTAAATGATAGCCAGAGTTTTGTCTCTCCTGGATTTTCAGGGAGCCTCCCTTTTTTACTGTAATCCAATCTATAAATATAATTACAGTTGACTCACAGAAGCATTGGACATGCAAACTGGGGCTGAAAAGAGAAGCCATTCAACTTTCATCTCTCCCAAATTGCTTCTGTAGAGTCTTCCCTTTCACTTAAAAGGAACATTCTCTCAATAATGAGAAAGGGCAAGGCAGCATTTTTTATGAAGCTAAAAAGTCTTTTTCAAAAGAAAACTTAACAATTTGGTTTCTACCTGCACCTGGCGTATTTAAAAATGCCACTGAACACCATTAAAACCTGTTGTAAGGCATTTTAAATACGTGGTAAATTACTTCTTGATTTTTCTCATTAAACTTTCATATCAGCTATTAAAGCCCCTTCTTTTCACTTCTGATCAGAACGAGTTCAGCGTCTGACACAACTCCTGTTAAAAGAAAGCAAGCTGCCTTTTCAGGCGGCCCCGAGAATAAATCCGGGGCGGGTGCAGCTGGCAAGCGGAGCCGCCTCTCCTGCCGTCCGGCCCAGGTGGCGAAGCACACCGGTTGTTTACAGCCTGCTAGCGGCACAGCAGTGCCTGTGCCACCTCCAGTTCTGCAGGAAAAGACAATTTCTCTTTTGTATCAGGCTGTAAATAACCAATTAGGAATTCTGTCTTAAGCTGCATGTTCTGCGGCACTGCACAGAACTCTTAACGTGCACAGAGAGCTTTGTGATGTTTTATTCAATTGCCCCGAGGACCGGATCCAGAAAAGATATTTAGGGACATATTTACTATTAGTTGCGCTTTTAAGCAGGGCATTTTCCAAAGGAAAAAAGGCAGCTGGACAGGCAAAGCCGCTGGATAAGGCTTGGCAGAAAGTGCTGAGGCTCCTCCCCGCGTGCCGTTGCATGCGGTGTGGTCCGTGAGCCGAGCGCGGCTCTGGCACGGCCGAGATTACGGCTTCAGACACGTAACACTCAGAGACTGAGCGCTACCGGAAAAAGCACGAGAGCTTAACGCAGCAGTGCTAAATGTTCTTGTACAAAAACCCTGCTAAGGCCGTAATGGAAAATTCATACAGGCCTTGGGGGAAGAGCTGCCAGCTTATAAAATAATTTACCTGCTATATTATGGGCAAGGTATTTTCTGGTCACTCTTCGTTCATGATTGGGACGTTCTTGTTACTTTAACCTTCACTCCAGGCTTCCTGCTTTGCCAGCTTCAGAAGAGATTTTTTTCACCCTACCTTTCCATGAGGACAGGCAGAAATTCTGCCTGTGCGGAGGCAGCTGCGCCTGGTCCCTGCCTCAGCGTGGGAGCTGAGAAGCAGCTCAGCGCGTCCCCAGGGCCGAGTGCAGGTGGGAACGAGGGGCTCCTGAGGGCAGCTGCATGGCCAGCTCTGCAACCGCTTGGCAGCTCCTTGAGCAATTTGTGTCCAGCAGGGTGGGGCCAAATTTGGGAAAAAAACCAAAAGGGACGAAATGGAGTCATCGCTTTTGCTGTAGCAAAAGCACGTCACGTACAAGGTCATGGCTGCTTATGCAGGTCCCGCTTGTGCAGGGGGCAAAACGTGAGCCAGGCACATTGCCCAGCGGGCTCCTCCAAGGGCAGGGAAATTAAAAATTGGCATGTTGATTTTGAGGGGGAGAGGGGCAGTTTAGGAAAAAAGAAATGGGCAAAAAAGCGCTTTCTCTCCAGATTCAGTAGTGGAGGGCTCTCAGAGACGTGACTCCCCTGGCTCCACCACGGTCTGCCTGGGTTCCAGAGAGGCAGGGAACTGTGATCTGAGCCCCGCTGGCACCCTGACACCGCAGGGGGCAAAAGGAGAGGGAAGGAGGGCGCAAGCTCGGGAAACCCGGCTTAGCGTGGGGCAGCAGCAGCAGCACAAGCCTTCCTGCCGGCCATGACCATGCTGTTATTGGAGTTCTGGCAATGAACAGTGCAGAGAAAGGAGAAAGTGCATCAGAAAATTTACAGTTAAGCTCTCATTTTTCAACAAAAGAATTAACAATGTTCGTGCTTTAGGTCACTCATGCATCGCTGCCGTCAACTCCATTCCAGA